TTCGTAAAAGCGTCACAATCATTACAATCGTAATTGTAATCTCGATATAGATTGGTTAGGATCTTTGCGCCAGTAAAGACATCGTATTTGGTTAGTTCTTTGTGCCAGAAAAGACATTGTATTGGTTAGGTCCTTGTTCCAGAAAAGGCAACGGATTAATTGTTCGATAAATTAGAGTTGGGCTTTCGCCCGGATTCGAACTAATAGAATAGAACATACAGACGACTCCTAATTCTTACTTCAAGTAGTTCAGAAACTCAATTTCTTCGCTCAAAACCTCCTGTTTATTCACCTATTCCACTCTAATCCACTTACTAAACGATATTGGCATATAAATAAACGATAGAATTAGATTGATTGGTCTTTCTGCAATTAAAATCACAAATTAGATTGATTGGTCTTTCTGCAATTACAATCACAAACTAAAGATCTGTAATTCGCTACCAAATTAATCAACTGTAATATGTGTAATTCGTATATTATTTTATTTCTCATACTTTTGTCTTCTCGTTTCTTACCAAAAATTCACAAAACAAACGGTTTAAAGATTTCGGCCGCCATAATATAAATAATTGTATAAAACAACATGTCTTGTAATCACCAAATGCACAACTACGTATGTTTCACCGCTAGAACGATAATACACAATTCAACAGACGTTAAACTACTATACAAACGTCTCCTCCCATGTATGTTATACTCGCACAAAACTATTGTTTATTCCGTGAAGATGAAAATAGTGCCAATATTTCATAGTACACTGAGAGTTTTGGTTCTACATTCTTTAGTATAGAATCTAATTCACCGAAATTCGTGCATATTCCTATGATTGATTTAACGTCGAATGTCACTTTCGTGACTATCAATAATGAGCTTGAAGACCAGAAATTAGAACGATTACTTGAGACGCAACATAAAAAAGTGGGCAATAAATGATATGACATTCTCACAATGTGCAGATGCAAGTTTTTTTATCCTTTAATTCAGTTTCAGGAGCAACAAGATTATATCTTTGCAAAATACATAATCCATATCAAAAAAATTTAATTTATACAAGTGGTTGGCCCAGTTTTCGAGGCACAGTGACGTATCAAGAGGGCGCAATTTCCACAACAAAATGGACAAATTTGTTTAGTGGATTGGCCGACATTTTGAAATGTGTAATTTTATTATTTATGTTTAATAGATTTGGCAACAGGTT